TCACTCTTTTGGCATAATGAGTCATTTCCGCCCATACTGAGGTTGGTCCCTAATTCTGGGTCAAATGGCAGCAGGGGCTGTTGCAACGGATCTTCAGGAGAGTGGGTGTCCCCTTGCAAGTCGCCTCCGGACTTCCAGGACAACCCTCAACATGTTCTCATTCTGTAAGTACTAAGTAGGGGTTGACGGTGCTAAAATCAAAGTTTGGTTGTTTCAATTACAGAATCACAATGTCGGTGGTTGGGAGAAGAAGAGCCTGAAATTTGCTACTGGTTTCAAGCCCAAGGAGACAAACAAATCAACCCCACTCCACATTTCAGAGTAGGTACCAATTTCCCTGTCCATCTGGAACCTGTCAGGAAGCAGAAGCGGTGACACAGTCCCCTAGTGCAGGCAGTGAGGACTGGGTCTGATGGACATCGTTACTTTTTTTTTTTTTTTTTGATGTTGGGAGTGGAACCTAGGGCCTCATGTACGTTAAGCATGCACTCAAACACTGAGCTACATCCCCAGCCTCCTCCTGATAACACCTTGATCTTGGTCTTCTGGCCACAGAACTGAGAGAGAATCCATTTCTATTGTTGAAGCCATTTTAGTGTGTGGTTCTTAATATGGTAGCCCCAGGAAACGAATCTAGCCTCTAAGGCTGGGGATCAAAGGGAAAGAGTTGGAACTCCAAGAAGGGGTCCCCAGAGCTGGAGCTCAGTCTCTGAGGCAGGGACAGTGCCTAGCTAGTGCTGGGTCACTGAGCTCAGCAGGGAGATCCATGGCCTGGCATGGTGGTACACGCCTGTAATCCCAGCACTAGGAAACCTGAGGCAGGACGAATCTTGAGTTCAAGGCCAGACTGGGCTACAGAGTGAGAACCTGTCTTGTCTCAAAAGAAGGAGGAGGAGAAGATCAGAAGTGGGACTCTGGGGCCTAGGACCTTGACTTCTGAAGAGAAGGGGCCTGCTGGCTGGTGCTGGGGTCTCAGAACTCAAAGGATGGCCTAGAGCTCAGAGCTCTGAGCAGGGGCGCAGGTGCTTGGTGTTGGTGTCTCGGGTGTTGCAAAATCTGAATATTGGATTTAGTTGGGGCCTGGAAGTGACCCGCTTGCTGCTGAGTTGAGGAAGCCTCGCTAGGGTGGTGCTTGCAGAAGGAGCAAGTCCCTTCTCCCTCCAGCCTTGCGGTCCCCTGTGAACACTCCCTGGTAGAAGTGCCTAAGCGGGAGCTCAAGGGTACAGCACAGACATCCCTGGCCTGAAATCAGCATGCAGAGGAAACCCGTGGGTTGGCATGGCCACAGTAGAACCTGGCAACTCCCCTCCCAGGACATAGATCTCAGGGAAAGGGTTGCATCTGTCCACTTCATCCACAATGGCTGAAAATGAGGAACAACCCCCCTGTCCACTAACGGGAATGTGGATGAGTAAATTGTGGTGCAGCCACACAAAGGCTGCTGCCCAGCAATGCCAAGGAAAGAATGGACAGACAGTGATGTGGATGAGTCTCACAGACATGACGAGAAAGAGGTGGCACAAAAGGCCCCAGAGGGCATGGTTCCACTTATTCATCTGCAAGGACCAGGCAAGGACCCATCTGCAGCTAGAGGAGGCAGAACAGTGGTCAGCCCTGCAGCAGGGCGTTGCCTGAGGGAGGCCACAAACTTTCAAATGTCTTCTAGTTTGCTCAAGTGGTGATTGGATGTCACGCAGGCACAAAATTCAGCTGCATATTTTATTTTATGCATGCTAACTCTCAAAAAAGTGGGGTTCAGTGGATCTTCGGGGCACTGAAAATTCTGTGTGCTACTGTGATGGAGGAGGCATGTTACACATTTATCCAAAGCAGAGAGGGCCCTAATGTCAGTGTTGACTATGGACTTTAGCTGCTCTCTCCATAATGGTTCATCAGTTGTCACGAGTGCAAGATGTGTGTGTTAGGGAAACTGTGGGGTGGAGTGCAATATAGGAACTTTCTACTTTCCACTCAAGTTTTCTAAAACCTAAACTTGCTCCAAAAATCAAAGTGTGTTGGGCTGAGGCTCAGAAGCAGAGTGTTTGCCTCGCATGCATCAGGTTAGGTTCCATCCCTGGCAATGTTAAAAAAAAAATCCAAAGTGTGTTAAAAATTTAAAGACCCAGGGAGCAGCCCCAGACCATATGGCAGATCCAGATCCTACGGTCTGGAGGCTCTCTGTTTTGAGGTTTTTTTGGGGGGTGCTGGGGCTTTTTTTTGTGGCACTGGGGCTTGAAGTCAGGAACTACACCTCGAGCCACTCCACCAGCCCTTCTTTTGTGGTGTTTTTTTTTTTTTTTTCAAGATAGGATCTCATGAACTATTTGCGCAGGCTGGCTTTGAACCACAATCCTCATAATCTTTGCCTCCTGAGTAACTAGGATTGCAGGCGTGAGCCACCAGCGCCTGGCTGTATTTTGTTTTTTGCCGCTGATGTTTGAACTCAGGGCCTCACACTTGCTAGGCAGGTGCTCTTACTGCCTGAGACATTCTGCCAGCCCTTTTTCTTTGATGGGTTTTTCAAAATAGAGTCTCGAGAACTATTTGCCCAGGGCTGGCTTCAAATCAAGATCCTCCTGATCTCCACCTCCTGTGTAGCTAGGATTACAGGTGTGAGCCACTGGCGCCCGGTTGGAGGCTCTCTGAATAGAAGAAGCTATCCGCAATGTCTGACTTCCATTTGCATTCCGGGCAGCTCCTCCTGGCCTTACGTCACATTTCTGTGCTGCTTCTGTAAGGACACGGGCCAGTGGTGCACACACACTCATTTCACACCCGCTTCCACCTGGCTGAACTTTGCTGTGCGGCCCCACCTAGGTGCAGAGGCGGCTGGGGAACGGATCTTCATCTGAGCTGCTGCATGCCCAAATCAGAAGTCTACTCTTATGGAAGAATGAGCAGGTCCTGGGGAACAGAGGCAGGCAGACGCTGTGGTAAGTGGAGACGGAGTGGGGACAAGGAGACTCGCCAAGCCTGAAGGGTTCTGCCCTAACTAGGAGCAGAGGAGAGGGCAAGAGCTGGGAAGCACGCAGTGTTAGGAGTCGAGTCGGGGTTTGTAGCGATAAAAACTGCTACTGGAGGTTTGTCTGCTGAGGGGACTGGTGCAACGGGGACCAGGAAAGATTAGAGACACAGAAAAGGGAAGGCGAGACAGGCAGTAGAAAAGTGCTCAAATGAATCATGGGGCTTGGATGGGAGCAGCGCCCGGGTAGAGGGATTTAGGGTTGGGGTGGACAGGCTTGGGAGTGGGAACAAGAGGCAAAGCACTGTCATTGGAGGCTTCCCACTTGCTCAGATAAACAAAGTCCTCGGATAAGAGAGGAGGGGCTGGAGGTTGGGAGAATGGCGTGAGATCTTGGCGAGCAAGAGAGGAAACAGACTCTGGAAATTTCCACAGAAGGCGACTGATTCCTATGGGGTCATTCACTGGGCGTGCTTTGTGCTGGTTTAGGGGGCTGGGCACACCAGGGGACATCATGCTGGTTGCCCCGAACCAGGGAGCCAGATGGACACTTGCAGGTTGTCTTGGTGGATGTGTTCCATTGGATAGGGAAGAGGCTTTCAGGCACTGGCCCTAAGTTAGGGGCAAGGGCTCCAGGACTTCTGGGACCTTGACCACACTCTGCTCCTCCGTCATCCTCCTTTGGGAATGGGTGTCTAGCCATGATAAAAGCCAAAACTTGGTTTCGAGAGGAGAGAGGAGGGAGGGAGCCCCAAGGCCCGTAAGTAGCGGTATTCAATAAGGTGGGTAGCATGGCGGAATGCCCAGGCTCCAGGAAGGGGCAGGGAAGGATCAGGGCTGTGCGGCTGAGCCACACCCGGGCAGAGGTGACCTGTAGGAGATCACAGCCTCCAAGGCTGGCTCCTAGTGCCTCCCACAGTGTAGGTCAGGGACGGGTAAGTAAGTGCTCTGTTAAATGAGGGAAGGTCCTCTTCATTTCCAAGTTTTTATTTGCCTGTTATAATTCTGATATTTATGTACATATATATATATATACTTTTGTTTTTTGTAGAGGGCTCATTAACAGACCAAGCAAAGGCATATGGGGAGCCCATAGCTGCTGGGCGAACCAATCTTTCCTTTTTTTTTTTTTTTTTTTTTTTTTTGTCTGTTTTTATTTTTCCTGGGATGGGATCATCAAAGCTAATTGCTATAAAACCTAGAAACCACCTAGAGACTCAGACATCTGCCTACACACTAGTGGCATATGGGGAAAAGGGCAAGGGTACAAACTTTCAAAGTCACGGTGTATTTACATTCCCAAGGTGGGTACAGAAGGAGACTGAGGAAGAGAACTGGGGGCAGGCAGGGATGCTAAGGGGTCTTGGGGTGTGGTGGTGGCTGGGAGAAGCCCAGCCGGTGGGCAGTGGGAGGAGGTGCCCCCGGCGGTGACAGAGGCCACTTGGATGTTGTCTGGTGGGTACCAAAGGCAGCATGTGTATGGAGCTCCTGAAAGGTGGGGTGGGTGGTGGGAGAAGCACATGTGGACCCAGTGAGCTACTGGGGAACAGGGACTCCGAGCTCTCCAGATGGCCTCTCCTGTACCACATGGCCAGCCTGCTCAGCTCCAGTCCCAACTGGAGCAGAAATGGCAAGGAAAAGGGATCAGATGGTGGGGACGCTGAGTTCTGTCCCCATCAGACTAGCCAGGGAGTGGTTGGGGGAGGGAGAGATGCCAACCCTGGTCCTGAGGAGACCCTATCATGCCTGCCCCCAATAAGGGAGCCAGAAGGACAGCATCTCAGAGATGCTTCTAAGGCCTCCTCCTCTTCCTCTCCCCCAAACTACGGCCTCTCTGCCCAAATAGGTTGGCAAGGCAGCACCTGAAGGTCCCTGACATGTGGGTGATCTGCCCCAAGCTGGGGCAAAGCAGCTTGTGCCCAGGAAGGGGTGCAGCTGGGTTTTGGCAATAAAGAGGGAACTGGGTGGTACAAAGGGATCTGAGGCTGTAAATTCCTCTCCTCTGCCCCAACTCAGCCTGCCCAGGCCTGTGGAGAGAGAGAGGGACCTCGATCCCAAGGTCAGCGGCACAGCACAGGCGTTGGGCTGGGGTTTCTTGGCCACTGGCTCTCCTGCACCTCTGGCCCTGGGCAGAGCGTGGCCTGCCTCACCTGGCTGGAACTCGCTATTCTAGAGCCACAGCAGGATTGATGGGGGAGGTGGCCCCTGAGCTGTCATTGCCTCCTGCTGCCTCCTTCTCTTTCTTGCCGCTGTACTGGCCGATGAAGGAGCCGTCCTCGTTGAACTGCACATCCACACTGCCCCCATAATCTGCCAGGCTGTCATCACTGCCCAAGGGCTTGATGTCTCCATTGAGAGATGGCTGGCTGCTGCCAAAGGCCTTTTCCTCATTGTCACTGCAGGAGTAGAGGGGGGTGCAAGTGGAAGCACTGCGGGGGCCCCAGCCGGAGCCCCAATGAGAGCTCTGGTGGGAGCCCCAGCAGGAATCTGGCTGGGGGCATGGTAGTTTCTACGGTCTTCCATTTGTCCTGACCCTGGTAGACAACTCCAGTGGCTTATCCTTGACACACCCCTGGGATGGCAGGCTGTATGTACCATGCTGGGGGGCTCAAGAAGCCTTCCGTGGGGAGAGGGGCAGCTGGGAAGGTGACATGCAGGCCCAGCAGCTGTACTGTGTGTTAGCATGCTCCAACTGGGACTGGAGCTGGGCAGGCTGGGATGTGAGAAGCCACCAGGGGTCATGGCACTCCTGGGTATGTATGCACTGCCCATAAGGGGGCAGACCCTGTCATTGGGCTCTGACAGACAGTCCACCCCCACTGCCCCACCTTACCTCTCCAGGGACCTGATGTCACCCAGCAGCACAGAGAAAAAGGAGAAAGAGGGTCAGCTACAAAAGTAATGTGTTGCTGCTCCCAGCACTGGTCCTGCCCCAGCTCACCTGTACTCGCCAAAGGTCTCATCTTTCATCGGCCGGGCCTCAGAGTCCACTTGGGTGTCCTCCTTGTCCTTCACTGGAGACATACAGAGGAGTCAGTTTCCTGCCCTACCCTAGCCTGACCCTAGACTCTGGGTCCCTCTGTGCTCTGAATGCCCCAGCACTCTGTCCTGGAAGCACTTACAAGACAGGAAGTCTTAGGGATGATCTACTTACCCCATGTGGCCCAGGTCGCCATTTGCTGGTCTTGCCAGCCCTAGCCCGAGAGGAAGATAGCCCTGGCCTCTGGCCTGCCCCCACAATGCCCAAACTGTTGTGCCAGAAGCTCAGAGACTCAGGGAGGCTTTGTAAAAGGGACTAAGGGGCAAGGGGGCCTGAGGCTCCTCTCTCCCTCAGCTCCATCATCACCCTCACCCTGAGCCTGAGGAAGGTTCGGGAGGTACCTGAGTATTTGCCGCCCTTGCTGCGCTTGATAAAGCAGAGGATGAGCAGAATTAGTAGCAAGAGAATGACGGCGCTGACAAAGCCAATGAACCAGCCCTCTGTGGCGAAGCCAGTAGGAGGGAGCCTCACACGGCCTGAGGGCGGAAAGCAAGAAGACAGAGTCCAGACCCTACAGTGAGCTGTGAGGCTAAGGGAGGAGCTACAACCCTGGTGCTCAAGCCCGGCGGCCTCCAAGTCAGGACAAGGCTCAGGCCTCACTTGGAGGTACAGGGGCCTCTGGGGCCAGGAAGTGGGACAGGAGGCCAGGGGCAAGGGAGGAGAACCCTCAGGAAAAATGCCAAGAGGCGCAGGGGCCAAACAGCGAGCAGATTCTGGGAGGACAGGAGAGAAGGCACAGAATGGGGCCTGGCTGGTAGTGGCTAAGTGAAGCAAACTGGGCAAACAGCGGATCCTCCAGTGCCTCACCAGTCCCATTGGTCTTCACAGCCATCTGACGCAGGACCACCCTCTCCTTCATCAGGCGGATCTCATACTCAGTGTCAGGCTGCAGGCCGCTCTGTGTGTAGGAGCTTTGGTTGTAGCTGACATACTGCGGCTCGAGGTTAGGGCCCATATTCCCCTCTGCACAGGTGAGAGGGTGGCAGCAGAGGTTAGCAGGAGTGTCAGGTGGCCCTAATGGGCCCAGAGCCCTGGACCCCTGCCCCAAGGACCCCTTCATGCTCACCTGCCAGAGCTTTGAACAAGATGTGGAATCCAAAATTGCACTGACCCTCCCTGGGAACCCAGGAGATGACACTGAAGTTTTCACCTGCTGTGGCTGAGATGTTGCCAAAATCTGGCTTCCCTAGGGGATGCAGGAGTGGAGGGGAGCGTGAGACCCTCAAAGGGCAGGCAGTCTAAAGGCCTGCTCTCCTGGGCTCAGCTGCCAGCCAAGGCTCTGCAGCCCCTGCAGCCCAGCACCCAGCAGGCCCCCCAACCAGCTCACCAGACAAAGTCATGGTGCCTCCTTCCCGCACAATGGCCTCGCCAGGACCCTCCTTTGTGGTGGCCTGAAGCTGGAAGCGGTACCGCAGATTGGGACTGAGGTTGGTCAGGTTGTGTGTCCGAAGTTCTGGGTCTGGAAGGTGGAGGGACTCTTGCTCCTTGCCTCCCTCGTCCACTGTGAAGACAAGCAAGGGGCTGACTTTGGCTGCCAGCTCTGCCGCCTCCCATGTCCCCTCAAGCTCCCTTCCAGGCACACACTGCACGCACAGGCATGGTAGGAGAGCACATAGCCGGTGAGCACGCCATTGTGGCTGAGTGGGGGCTGCCAGTGTAGCAGCAGGCTGGTGTCCGACTGGCACTCCAGGTGCAATGCCTCAGGGTGGCCGGGCACTGTGAGGCAGAGCAGAGAAGAGCAACATATCGTCACCCAGGTCTGAAGAGGAGGGGCAGGGGATGGAGGCATGGGTGCCATACTCACCTCCCTCTGGGGTGCTGAAGGTGAACTCACTCGCAGGCCCTAGTCCCCTCCTGTTGAAGGCCTGCACCTCCAGATGGTAGTTGCTGTAGGGCCGTAGGCCACTGAGGATGGCACTGGTGGTGTTCGCAGGCACCACCACGTGGCTTTTGTGGACATGTCTCTTGTGCTTCTTCTGACTGCCCTCCCACCAGTACGTTACCTGCACAGGTGTACAGGAGACTTCATAAGGGTGGAAGGCATCCAGGAGGGACTCCAGTATGTGTTCCCAGGTACCCTTGCCAGGACCTTTTTCTCCCAACCCAAGGACCACCAGAAGAGCTACCAGCAGACGGCAGGGCCCCACCCTCAATCCTGTCACTTTACCCTGGGGATTGAGCGAGCCCTTACATTGTATCCCCGGAGATGACCTTTGACTTGGGCCAAGTCCACAGGCCACCACTTGACCAGCACAGTGCTTGAGTTGAGGATCTTGATGCCTTCCAGGTCAGGGCTTGCCTGGGGGTCTGGGAAAAAGCCAGAGGCCAGCCCTGAGGCCCTGAGACCAGCCTAGAGCCCTTCCCGCAGGGCAGATGGGTTTTGATGCTACATGCGGTGCAGTTCAATGGGAGGCAGGGCGATTGCATGGTGTCAAGGTTTCTCCAGGGAGAAAATAGTAACTTATACAGAGAAACCAGAAAAAACCTTAAGCAGGTGGCCAAAGTTAACATCTGGCACTGTTCCCGATTTAAGAAACCAAACGCAGGGAAAGTTGTACAGATGACCATCTTTTATCTGAGATGGTGGGACCAAAAGTGTTTTAGAGTCTTTTCAGCTTTGCAATATTTGCATATACATAATGAGATATCTTGGGGATGGACTCCCAAGCCCAAACACAAAATTCTTTTTTTTTTTTTTTTTTTTTGTGGTACTGGGGTTTGAACTCAGGGCCTTCATCTTGAGCCACTCCTACAGCCCTATTTTTGTGAAGGGTTTTTTGAGATAGAGTCTCACGAACTATTAGCCCGCGCTGGCTCTTTGCCTCTTAAGTAGCTAGGATTACAGATGTGACCACTGGCACCCAGCTTTTTTTTTTGGTTGTGAGAAAATCAGGGCTCTACCACTTGAGCCACACCTCCAGTCAAATACAAAATTCTTAAATTCTTGTGTATGTGGGGGGGGGGGTGCTGAGGATGGAAACCACAGCCTCATGCATGCTAAGCAAGTACTTTACCACTGAGCCACCCTGGGGCATCTATCTATGCTTCTTATACACTTTACAGGCACAGCCTGAAGTTCATTTTATGCTACAGTTATTTTTAGTGAGCCTGTGTTTTGGCTGATCCATCACACGAGGTCAGATGTGAAATTCTCCACTTAGGATGTCATGTTGGCACTCAGAAAGTTTTTGGTTTTGGAGCATTTTGGATTAGGGATGCTTGGCCTACACTGGATTCTTGTGTGGGAAGAAGGAAACGCTGTGAAACACAGCACTGGCTGATACAATTGGAATTCCACTGTTAGTTACAGAAACATATCAACGAGAAGTGTCCAGACTTTCATAACGTCACTCGGCTATGTGAAAGAGTGACCTTATTTGTAGGAGTTGCACACTGAAGTGTTGAGATGTGGGGCTGGCAACGGCACATGGGGAGTGCCTGTGCACACACACTGACCAGAACAAGGGCTCCACCTTGCGTAATGACTGGCCTGATACTCACAGTCCTCTCCCGAATAGCCAATGGTGACCTGTGGCTCAGGGCCCTTGCCCTGGCTGTTGACTGCCTGAACTTTGATCTCGTAGGGCACGAACGTAGATGTGTTGGACACCACCAGGAAGGGGTCGCTCACAATCTGTTCCTGCCAGGTCCCTCGCGTGCCCTGTGGGCGCCACTGCACACGGTACTGAACCTCAGGGGCATTCCAATCCATCCACCGGAGGGGCTGGAGGGGGTCAGCAGAAAAAGAGCTAGGTGGCAAAAGCTGCTGCCTTCTGTGCCGTATCCACCAGCCCAGACACTCCCAGTCACTGGCCTCCTTAGCACAGCTAAAGGACAGCAAATGTCTGGGACCTGGCCTCATGTGTAGGGGACAAATCAGCCCAGGGACCCTCACCTTCCATGTGATGACCATGTTGTTAGTCTCATTGCCTTCCCCTTTCACGTCCACAGGGTTCTTCTCTGGGGCTGGAAAGTAATGTGTTAACATATCAATGCTGCAGCTTCCTGCCCCCAGGGGACAAGGAACCAAGGGCCCATTCTGACCCCTGAAGCAACACGCCAGAGGCCCTAAGGGAGCACCACAGATCCCTGGGACACTGGAAACAGAGGCGCAGGGATATAGCACTTTTCCAGACCCTCCCTTCACAGACCCAGCAACTGACACCCTTTCCAGGTGACCTGGGAGAAGGTGCTGCCCGGGCTCACCTGCCTCAGGTGTGACCACAGTCTCAGAGGTCGGACTGGGCTCCCCAGGGCCATATTTGTTGATGGCAGTGACCCTAAAGGTGTAGTGGATATAGGGTGACAGCTTGAGGGTGGTAGAGGTCTGGTTCCCTGGCACCTTGCCCAGACTGAACCATTTCTCAGGCGCCATTTCCTTGTCCTCAAATTCAATGTCATATTCTGCCAAGAAATGAACCAGCAATGGAGTGATCGGCAGCATGGGGCTTCTCAGGGAGGGCAACAAGGGAGGATACGAAACCTTCTCTCTCCAAGTCCCAAGAAACTGTGAGCCCCCAGAACACAAGTGTGGACCCCAATAAGGTGGAGCTGGGGCCATGGGAGGAGGGAGGACACCAGGAAGAGGAAGGGCTGGCAGGGGTAATGGCGAGGGGATGGCACACCCAGATCTCTTACTCTCAATGGGAGCGTTGTGGTCTTCAGCAGGGCTCCAGGACAGGTGCACCTGGCTCTGCTTCAGCAGGTGACGATCGGACAGCTCAAGCCGAGGCACCGGCCCAGGGCTCCCTGAGGGCCATGGAGAGTAGATTCTTTGGTCCCTCAATAGCCACATACCGCCCCCCCCTTAAAAGGGCCCAGAAATGTGAGCCTGGGCCCCTTGGGCACTCCCCTGTGCTGCCAGGCCACATGCTCAATACCAGCCTAGAACTTACCCACCACCAAGAGCTGTGCCCTGCTCTCCACCTCATCCAGCTCAGTGCTGGCCACACAGCTGTAGTTGCCCTGGTCACTGTAGTCCAAGCTGTGGATGACTAGGTGCCCATGCTCTATGAAGTACCTGCGGAGGGGGCCGTGTTTGTCCTGTGGCTCTCAGTAACTACACTCCTTCTCTGCCACCTGGGCACCTCTCCTCCCCTGCCCCTTCTGCTTGCATTTCTCCCTTCCGCCATGAACCTCCCCCACTAAGCAGAAGAGCTCCCTCCGTGGACGAGGCCAGGAGGTCCAACATTGCAGCTTTTCTTACTCTATCCCCTTCCACCTAACCCAGTTTGGGGCTTGGGCCCTCACTTATCACTGTCTCCAAGTTCCTGGAGGTCTCGCCCATCCCTGCGCCAGGTGGTGCTAGGCTGCAAGGAGGAGTCAAAGGAGGCCTGGCATGTGAAGGTCACCCTTGAGCCTTTCTTCTCAATTGCATTCCGGGGCCCCTGTATTGATCTTGGTTGCTTCTGAGGGTCAGAAGAAACCAAGAAAAGGGAGAGTCACTCTGACGTCCTCCCGAGATCCTCACCCTCCCTTGCAAGAGTGCCGCTGGTCATGGGGGCATTGTCTGACCTTTAACATGCAGGTTAGCCACAATGGTCACATTGTTCTGGTCATTGGCAGCCTGGCAGAAATAGTGTCCAGTGTCATTGGCCTGGAGGTCTCGGATGCCCAGGGTCCCGTTGGCATAGGGGAAGAAGCGTTCATCCTGGAGTACTGTGGTCCCTTCCTCATCCAGCCTAGAGCAAGCAGGTGGGCCCGGCTCAGGCTGTCCGTCCTAGGCTCCCTGCCCTCCCAGGCTCCCTGGATCAGATGACAGCTTACAAACCCCGACCAGGATGAGTCACTCACCACTGGACACTGGGCACGGGGGCTCCAAAGGCCTTGCACAGCAGGTAGGCAGTGCTGCCCTCAACTGCCAGGTATGTCTGGTTGTCTCCTGTCAGGATTGTGGCTGGTAGCTCTGAGGGAAGAACAGTCAGGGCAGGACTAGGGGCCACAAGTGTGAGAGAGGCCAACGACTCTCCACCCATCATCCTCAGGCCCCCAGGAGCCACGCACGTCGGCTTCCCTATGTCTCTATGCCTCGGATGTGCTACAGTCATTATTCAAGGCCCCATTTGCAGTCTATCATCTCTTCCCAAGAGCCCTCTCCGCCCAGCCCCCAGCCTTCCCTGAGACTCTAGGAAAGGAGCCATCAGGCTGGCTGGGTCACATCTTGTCCAGGGTACACCTTGGCTCAGTCATGGTGACAAGACCCTGCCCTTCCCATACCTCCCCTCTCAGCTGTTGTGGAGATGGGAGTGAGATGGGAGTGAAGGGTCACAGCAAGGAGTGAGAGCCCTGGTAAGTTGAGGTCACAGCACCTGCTGGCTGAGACACTGTGAGCTGCAGACTGGGGTTACGAGGCAAGGAAAGAGGGAGGGCTGGTGGGCAGACACAACTTGCTGGTACTCACGGACAACATAGATGTAAGCATTGGCCAGCAGGAGGCCATGCTGGTTGCGGGCCTCACACTGGGTCACCATGGTGTCACTGGGTTGCACGTTGCTCAGGATCAGAGTTCCCTGATCGATCTTGTACCTCTGGTCCTTGGCCACCTCTGTGCGTGCAGGAGATGGCACCCCATGGGTCCGGGCCAGAGCACTGAGCTGTGTTGAGGCCCCTCCTCACCCTCCTCTTCCTCCCCTCAATATTCCCCTGAGTTCACCACACTCCCTGACCCTCCCAAGGCCCTGCTCACCCTCCACAGAGATCCCATTGATTCTCCAGGTGACCTCTGGTTGGGGCCTGCCCTGGACTTGGCAGTCCAAGCGGGCAGTCTCTCCTGGCCCATACAAACGACTCTGGGGCTTGTGCAGCCAGTATGGGGCAGCTGAGAAGAAGGAAGGAGACACCCTGAGCCTGCAGCCTGCTCTTGCCTTCATGCAGACCCTGCCCTCCCCCATGACAGTGGGCATTGTAGGCCACCATCCTTAGAGGCCATCTGTGGCAACTGGGGGAGGTGTGCTAGGCAGAGGCCCATACCCTCCACCTTGACTCGGTAGATATGGCGGGCACTGCCCAGCGAGTTCTCAGCCAGACAGTGATACTGGCCATCGTCCTGCTCTCCCACATTCAGCAGCTGCAGGGTCTTGTTGTGGTTCTGGTAAGTGACACGGTCTGCTGGCATGGGGACACCGGGGCGTAGCCACTTGATGGTGGGAGTGGGGCTATCCAGAGTCATGGTTCAGGGAGGACAAGGGAGGAGAAGAGAGGGGAGAGAGGACAAGGGTTCAGAGGCCTGAGCCCTTGCTGGAGCCACCCAGCCCCAGCCCTCCACTGCCCTGAACACCCAGACTCACAAGCCCTCAGCAATGCACTCCAGCACCAAGGGCTGCCCCTGCAAGGCTACCAGGTCACTGCTGGAGTTGCTGGGGAAGAGCAGACGTGGCTTCCTGTCAATCATGCTGTTGGCTGCCAGGAGAAAGGAGGTGGGTGGGTGAGTCACAAGGCTAGGGGACTCTGGATACCCTAGCGAGTCCCTAGTCCTCTCTATTACCCTTAAAAAGAACGGCTGGGCTGGGTGCCGGTGGCTCATGCCTGTAATCCTAGCTACTCGGGAGGCAGAGATCAGGAGGATTGTAGTTCGTGAGACCCATGGCTCAAGTGATAGAGTGCCTGCCTAGCAAGCATGAGGCCCTGAGTTCAAACCCCATACCACCCCCCAAAAAGAAACAGAATGACTGGGGAGCTGGGGACTTGGCTCAAGTGGTAGAGCACTTGTCTAGCAAGCATGAGGTCCTGAGTTCAAACCCCAGTGCCATAAAAAAAATTGCCAGGTGCCAGTGGCTCACTCCTATAATCCTAGCTACTTGGGAGGCTGAGATTGGGAAAGTCTTGGTTCCCAAGACCTGGTTCCTAAAAATATTTGCCCAGCCTGTGCAAATATCCAAAATATCCAAAGCAAAATGGACTGGAGGTGTAACTCAAGCAGTAGAGCACCCGATTTGCAAGGGTGAATCCCTGAGTTCAAACCCCAGTCCCACCAGAAAAAAAAAACAAAACAGGAGTGGCTAGGGATGTAGCCAGTGGTAGAATATTTGGTTAGCACACAAGAGGTCCTGGGTTCCAACCCTAACACTGAAAGAAAAAAGAGTGTTCTGCTGGATGTGGTGGTACACTCCTACAATCCCAGCATTCATTCAGGAAGCTGAGGCAAGACAATCACAAATTCAAGGCTAGTTTGGGCTACATAGTGAGAACCTGTCTTGAAAAGAAAAATGTGTCAATCTCTGCTCTCACCACCTGGGAAAGGCTTGAGCAGGGTGGGCACAGGAGACAACTTGTCTTTGAGGGATGGGTTAGGCCTGAAGGGGGGATTATCAGAGCTTTTGGGACTTACTGGCCTTGACCCGGAGGTCAATGGGCTCCTTTTGAATGATGGTCCGGGTACCCAGGAAGTGAGCATTGCAGATGTAGTCTGAGTGGTTGTCTGAAGTGAGCACATTGGCAAAGTAGAGGTTGCCATTCTGGCCCATTGTCACACGCTCATCCTGCTTGATGTGCAAAATCTCTGCAAAGGGAGCAAGGAGGTGGAGGTCAGGACCTCTGTCTGAGAAGACCCTCCCCACATTGACACCCCAGTCCCAAGCAGCAGCTCCTCCCTGACACCCACTGCTGTTCATCCAGTAGATCCTGAGTGGCTCTGCACTGGGTGGAGGGTTGCAAGGCAGAACCACTGACTCCCCTTCCTCCACCTCCACGGGTTTCACTGTCTCCTTTGGCCACTTGGGGGCACCTAGAAGGAACAGAGAGGCTGGCACTCAGGTCCTGGTCAAAGTGGCCCAAGGCAGAAGGAAGGAGGAGGGAGGGCTGTGCTGGGGATAGAGCTCTCAAGGGTGTGAGAAGGCCAGGATGGGAGAGAGTTCACATAAAGGGAGGCGGAGTCTCTGGGCCCTTCTTGAGCTCCAGGTGGAGACTAACATCCTATGATGATCTCGGAGAGGGTGATCGGGAAGGGGTTGGTCATGAAGGGTTAACCCTCCACAATTCTCAGCTCTCCCCATCTACGTCCACCCTGAGGAAAGGACAAGGACGGGTGGGGGGGAGGCTGAGGTGCAGTGATGGGGGAGGGGAGCTGTGGAGGGATGCGGGAGTCACAGACCCTTCCATCATCTTGACACAGAAACCATGGCAACGGTTCCCAAGGTAACTGGAGGGTGGGGAGGGGAGAGGAAAGCGCTCAGAAGGCAGAAAGCTCAGGGGGGATGGAATGCAGAGGGAAAACCCCAGGGAAAGCGCGACATAGATAAAGACAGAGCCCCAGAGCAGAAAGGAGAGAGAAGGAGAAGCCAAGTCAGAGGTGGAACAGGGAGTGATGGAAAGCAAGGGAGATGAGGAAGGCAGCAAGAGACCAAAGTGGGAAAGCCGAGGGAGAGGTGCCAAATAAATGGCAGAGATGGACAGAGATGACCCGAGAGCAGTGGAGGAGGAAACAAGGCAGAAACACAACCACTGAGCTCAAGCCAGGGAATGACTCAGACAGAGACATAGCCGGCCAGAGGGAAGGGCAAACCATCCACCCATGCAGCTAGTCCACAGCCCACAGCCCACCAGCTATTATGAAGTAGGCACTGAGAAAGATTGAGAGAAGGAAGGGGAAACGAGGTGCCCAAAAGAACAGTGGAGAAAGAGACAGAACAAGCATGGAGGAGACTGCTGGAGAAAAGAGGAAGGGGCAATGGGAATGGCAGGGACATGCAGACCCCTCAAATGCTTCACAATTAGCTGAGGAACAGTGGCTGCCAGCCCAGACCCCCAAACTAGCTCCTGAGACCTGTGTACAATGCTTCTCGGGTACCCAGTCCCTCCCTAGTCCCTGCAGTGCCTCTCACCCTCAGCCATGAGCTGGATCTCGTGGGACATGGCAGTGCCCAGCTTATTGCTGGCAAAGCAGCGGTAGATGCCCTGGAACCTCTGGGCAAAGCTGTTGTTGCCTGCGATGGTGAAGGAGCCAGAGTGGGGTGCCTCGTGCACAGTCACACCCACTTCTTCCTTGGGTTTGAAGTGAATGCCATCCTTTGTCCAGCGAAACCTGTGGGCAGAGAAGGGCTCAGGCTGGAGGCCCTGACACCCAGGACAAGGGTTGAAACAGACTGGAGGCAAGGGTTTCCACAGCCAGGAAGTTCCAAGGGATGGGCCAGGAGTGAGCAAGGACTTGAAGTCATGTGAGAGGTCTGGGGCTTCTGGGCTGGTGGCCCAGAGAGGTCGAAGGGTTGGAGGCTAAGGTCAGCAGTTAACAGCAGAGGCTCAGAGTATGAGGGTCACTCACTGTACTTCAGGTTTGCCTCTAGCCTCACACTTGAGGCTGATGTCATCTGTGGGGAAGACAACCAGGCGCCGTGGAGACTGTTCTGTGATGACAGGTGGCTCCATCACTGGTGACAAGATGAGGATAGCAGTGGTAAAAATTATGTCTGGTTGGCATCATGGCCTTGGCCCCACCCCATTATGAGGGAAGCAGGGTCCAAGGCCCTTAGGGGGCCTCATGGCCATGAAGGAAGGGAGGGATAAAAACAGAGACTAGCTTGCGGGACACAAGACTGAAGCGGAAACAGACACACAAATAAATGTAGAAAAAGGAACAGAAGGAAGACAATAAAAATTACAAAGAAAGATGTGTATGCATGTGTGTGTGTGAGAGAGAGAGAGAGAATGAGAGAATGAGAGAGAGAAGTAAAGAGAGAGGAACAACAAAAGCCAAAGGCACAGAAACCAAGAAGGAAGAGAGGGCACCAGAGGACGGCAATACACAGAAATCCCAGCATGGGCAAAAACAGAGCAAAAATTCCCACACAGGTGAGAGAGAAGAGGCTGAGAGGAGCCTTCGGATTGAGATAATGGGGACAGGGACCCAAGAGCTAGAAAAGGAAAGGGTGGGGGAGTATATGCAGGACAGGAGCATGCTAGCGCAGCCAAAGGTCCCTCCTCCCTCTGTCCTTGGCCTTCTGGGCCACACTCCCACCCCCCCTCCCACTTACCATGGTGTCCTTCATCTGAGAAGTCCGGACAGCAAGGGAGAGAAGGGAGAAAAACGCTCAGAGGTAGCCCCAACAGGGCCCGATGGCACGGGAAGAGGCAAGCTCAAGCAGACCCCATGGGGAAGGGAAGGGAGAGGAGGCTATGGCAGTAGCAACAAGAGGGCACAGTCCAGGCTACAGCAGTGGCAGGTCCAGCCCAGGGAGACAGGACAGAGCCTGGCGGGGGCAATGCCCAGGGAAAGGGGCTCCATCAGAGTCATGGAATGTGTAGACCCAGGGAGAGAAATTCTTGCCTTTAGCAAGGAGTGGACTTGCAGCCCCCTGGCAAGGCCAGGCATGGCCTGCAGAACTGACCTCCACCCATCCAGGATGCTTTGGAAGGTTGAAAGCAGACAGCCAGCAATCAGGGCACCCTCCCCAGCACCAGCCCACTTCCCTCCTAATCCAATTAGCACAGCTCAGTGTTTTCAATTACCCAGGCCCAGCCTTCAGAGCTCAATGGCCCCTCCCCCTCAAAACCCTCCCAAAGGCCCTGCTGCATCTGAGTCTCCATAGCCTGCAGGGCAGAGCTGGCGCCAGGCCTCCTTCTTCCTCCTTCTTTCCTCCCTGGTGGCCACCAAGCTCCCTGGGACAGAGGCCAGAGCAACTGCCCCAACCCCAGGGACTCAACGGAGCAGAAGCAGGGAGGGGACAGAGAGACAGAAGAAGAAAGGGAAGGGGAGGGCAGGGGAACAGTGAATTGGCTCCGGAAAGCTTTGTCTCTGCAGAAGACCTCAATGTAAGGGGCCTGGGAAGAGAGGAGGGGGCTCCCTAGGAACACCAAAGAGGGCCCTAAGCTGGAGAAAAGGCAATGCAGGCAGCCTGAGAGCAAGACATTGACAGGGATAACAGGATAGAGAAAATAAATTCAGTGAATGAAACAAACAAGAGACAAAAGGGCCTGGTGTGACTGGGAAAAAAGAGTGGAGGGCAGGTTAACAGGGAGGCACTGCAGCTGCTCACTGTATCATATCACAGTGAGTAACAAGTGCTGGGCAGTGCCCCAGGCAGCCTTGGGTCTGCTGTAGTCTCTGGCCTAGTTCTCTCTCCCCATTGCCATGTTTCTCTAAATTCTCCCTGCCCTCGTCACATGCAGACACACCCTAGGCAAGGTGGCCCAGTCTATTTAGTACAAAGGCAGGCATAATGGATGGCCAGAGTGAGGCCCTGGCCTTTCAGACCAGGAGAGAGACCCTGCAAAGCAACTGAGAGGAGGCAGAGAGAGCAGGAGGACTGGTACATATCTATGAATGTGCAGAAATGAGAGTCTGAGCTCATGGGTGGATGTCCTGGAATGTGCATATTGCAGTAGCTTTTTCTGGTGTTTGCTGGTGTGTCTCTACCTTGCCTGAATATGTCTGCAGATCTGTCTGTGTGTGCTTTGTTTCAGCGTACAAAGTGCTGCATATCCACCCCTGTGTGGATGACTGTTCCTTTGTATGTTTCTGTTGGTATGGCCTCTGAGTGTCCTGCTCCTCTCACATATCTGTGCCTGGTTGGAACAAGTGTCCAGCCACATTCGTGTGTACCTGTGCATTTGTGATGGTGGTGGTTCAGGATTCTCCATGGGCATGACTCAGAACCTCTATGTGCATGTCTAAGGGGGCACCCCCAACCTCTGTCCTGCCAACGCTCTTCTTTTTTTTGCAGTATGGGGCTTGAACTCAGGGTCTACACCTTGAGCCACTCCATCAGCCCTTTTTTGTGATTTTTTTTTTCCAAGATAGGGTCTCTCAAACTATTTGCTTGGGCTGTTTTTGAACCACAAACCTCCTGATCTCTGCCTCCTGAGTAGCTAGGATCACAGGCATGAGCCACCAGTGCCTGGCCTGTCAGCTCTTCTTCACTTCCTCCAAACCTCTTGCTGCTCCTTAATGCCAGGTCCTTCCCAAGCCTTCCTCTCTTGGCCCCTGTCCCCCCGTTTCTGGTGCAGTCTTTCCCATCCCTGCTCCCTTAGCTGGTCTCTCCATGTCCAGACTCAGGGAGAAAGGTGGCAAAGTGAGAATTACAGACTCACAGCTCAAGGCTCATAGCACAAATGCCCTCACACATGATACTCTATGAAATACTCCCTGGTAAGGGACAACAGTCACTTAGAACAGTATGTTTACAATTCTTACACATACTCAGGAGAAAACCCCATCACAGTAAAAACAACCCCATGTGCAAACATGTACTCCAGCTCCACTCACATAAGCACACATCCCACTACAGTCAAATGCTACAGTCACTTCCAGACCTTCACAAACCTGGTCAATAATTAAGTTACAGTGACTTGAAAACTTACCCGTATAGGAAGTCAAAATCACACTCACGAATATCCACACTTGGTCAGTCAAAATGCTCACACCACATATGCAGTCTGTCCAATTCACAAGCATACACAAGCATGCATGTTTAGTCACAACCCTACAGCTACACTCTGCAAAACACACACACCTACCTGTCACTTTCCCCAACAAACATTACAATCGTAGCCACGTGCTCCAGCAGCCCCACCCCCAACTCCATAGAATACACACCAAAAAGGATTCAGAAGGCTGTTGGGTCCAGATCTGGTGTTTTCAAAGTGTCATTTCCTGTCTCAGTTCAGAGACAGGGCTACTGAGGGCCCAAAATGGGAAAGAACCAGATTGGGATTACCTAACCAGAAATAAGGACAAGACTGCACAAGCTAGCTGAGAACTGGGGACTGCCCCATTCTCCTGGCCGCCACATACCTGGGGTGCCAGTAGGGGGAATGGAAGCAGAGAAACCAGAGTGCAGGGTGGGGCGGGTAAGGGAGGGCAGGGCGGAGGCCGCTGTCCGTGGTGCTGGAACCGCGCGCGCTGCTCCTGTCCACGGTGCTGACACGCCCCATGCTTTCTACCCTGTACTGGCCGAGGTATCCATCGTCCTAGGTACCTCTTGCCCAGCTCGTACCCAGGGAAGGAGGGCGAGGGTCCAGCACGGGGAGGGTGAGGAGGCAGAATGTAAAGAGGGGCCCAACAGAGTGGCGAATGGAGGAGCTGAGGCTCCCTCCAGCTACTCACATTCGTCGGGAATCTGGATGAGCAGGCAGGGGCTGCAGAGGAGGAGAGGCCACACGTACCGCAGCGCCACGACCATCTTCCCGGGAGCGCCGGCGGCGGCGCGGCACAGCCGGCCGGGCTCAGCTCACGCTCTGGCCGGAGGGAAGGGGCTGGTGGTTGGCTTAGGGTGGTAGCTGCGGGGGCACTGGGAGAGGGGAGGAGGAGGAGGAGGAGGAGGAGGAGAAAACGGACGATGGACGTTAGTGACTAACATCTGGGCCAGCCTGGGGCCCTGGCCCCGCCCCCCAGCCCCGCCCCCGGCCAGCCAGCTAATCCGCCCTTTCTCCCCACCCCTCCTCACACATACCCCACCTTGGAGGGAGAAACCTGGAAGAGACAGTCTTGGCTGAGCCTCCAGCTTGCCTCCCCAGCACCAACTTGTTGCCCCAATCAACTACCCTGTGCATGCCACCAGCCGCTCTGGGCACACATCCCCATGTGTGTCCTGATGTGCCTGTGAGCAGGTGTCCATGGACATGTGTATGGATGGGGACCTGCACGCGTGGAGTAAGCCGAACATGCACCTCAGTATTTACGTGGCTACGCATGAGCACATAAGCGCCTTCTCGGGAGGGGGTGCGTTCATGAGCAGGTATGTGTTGGTGTGAATCTGGGGGGGGGATCAATACACAGGTCTACTAGCTGAGCTGCATGTATGTTACATGTCTTTTTGTGTACATGTCTGTGGGGGATCAATCTATATATCTGCTGGTTTTGTGTGCACACACAGCATGCGTGCACATGTACATTAAAGAAGAACTCTTCTTGTAGTCTCATTGCTGTAGCTCTCAGAGCCAATTGACTCCTGGGTGTTGTTTGTACCCACAAGCCAATGGGAGGTTTGCGAAGTGCGATAGGAAGGGAGGAAATGGGCCCCAGATGTCTGGTTTTCACATAACAGACTCAGATAAGGGAAGAAAGAATGGAGAACAAAGCCTGCCCTCAAGAATTGGTGGGAAGATGGGCACAGTGACTGCAATCCTAGCTACTGGGGGGGGGAGATTGAGAGGATCTTGGTTCAAGGCCAGCGTGGGAAAAAAAGTTAGTGAGGCCCCATCTCAACCAATAGCTGGGCATAGTGGTGTGTGCTTATCATCTCAGCTACAAGGAAGCATAAATTGGAGGACTGCAGTCCAGGCTGGACTGGACAAAAAAGTGGCCCTAACCCAAAAATAACTAAAAGCAAAATTCGACTGGGGGGGCGTGGCTCAAGTGGTGGAATGACTGCCTAGCAACTGCAAGGCCCTGAATTCAAATCCCAGTATCAGGATAAAAATGAAAAAGAACTAGTGGGAGAGGGAGGTAAGGAAGAAAGTGCTTCACTGCTCCTTCTCAGCCCCTGAGGGGGCAATAGAAACCACCATGGTATCCTTACTTCCAGATGCTCCAGGCCAGGGTCAGGGCACAGGTCAGGGAAAGCTCTGGAACACTTCTCAAGACAGTGTTTCTGACACCTCTTGAGTGTGTCAGAAGTCCCAGCTTCTGAGTCTTTTTCTGAGTCGTCAGGGCTTAACTGCTAGATGTGTCCACCTGAATGCAATGGGCCCCAAAACTGGGAATCCAAGAAAGGGGATTTCTCTGATGATGACCAGAAGAGGGAACAGTCTCTCATGAAGACAAGCCACTTTAATTCCACATAGGAAGGGTGTGAAAAGAGAGGTAAGGGCTAGTGTTGCTGGGTATCTGATAGCTAGTAGGCTGGAGCCCCCATCTGGATGCCTTCACCAAATCCATACTGGCATCCTGCCTGTGCCCAGCCAGGACCCTACCAAAGGGGAAAACCAAGCATCATCTATAACACCAAAAGTGTAGGTAGAGAGGTCTGGAATGCCATGCTAAGACAACTAGACTCTGTCAGGAGGTAACCAGAAGTCACAAATCATTTTTGTGCAAGGGGGTGCTCAGAGAACAGTGGTGAATGTAGCAGATAGCCTGGGGACTGGACAGGGAGAATGGATGGGAGAGAGTAGCAGTCAGCTTGGAGCTCTGAGACTCTCCCACCCAAAGCTGGTGAAGGTGATGGAGAAACACCAGGATGAGTCAACATGGATGGCCTAGAGGTCAAGGGAATGACTTGGAGGGTCAGAAGTGGAGCAAGGATGGACAATTCCCAATCCACAACAGCTGAGCTGGGGCCCAGAAGGGAGAAGAACAGTGAACCTGTTTTTACCAATATCTCCCCTCACAAAGCCAGCTCTATCAGGGTCGGCCCCAGGCAGCATTGGCCTTGACTTCAAGGCCTGTAGGAAGCAGTAGGAGACTCAGATTAGAGAGCAAGCGATCAAACAGCAGCCTTGGGAGCTCTAGCACTGGTCTTCGGAGGGGGAGGGGAGGGAAATTGGAGCAAGGGAAGCTCAAAGAAGGACTCTCCTGCTTATGAAGAGGCTTTGATGCTCTGTTTGTTGGAGTGATGATTTCTGCCATGTCAGTTCCTCCATTTGTCGTAAATCTAGGTTCCCAGAATGGTGTTTGGGGTGTATGCCTAGGGTATACATGGGAAACAATACCCCAAACTCCTGGTCCCACTCTGCCCCATCCTGGTCTCATCCAAACTCCCCACAGCCTCAAATGCAACCTTTTTTTGTTTTTCCCTTCTCCTGGTATTTGTCACCCCACTTGCCACTACCCTGGGCACTCAGAGATAGGCAAGAAGGAGCCAGAAGGTTGAGAGGCCTCTGACAGCTGGGAGGGAGCTCTCCCACCTCCCTTCCCACTGCTGCTGGGTCTCTGATCTCTCACCATTCCTCAGGCAATTATAGAGCAAACTAAGGTTGTTAGCTCAGCAGGCCCCGACCCCCAATCAGCACCACCAAGGGCGGGGGGGGGGTTAAGTATTCCACAGATGGAGCTAAGGCCCAGTCTGCCAAGGGTGACAGACAGAGTGAGAAAGAGGCAGGAGGAAGCAGGAGAGGCTGAGAACTGGGGTTGGAAACAGGAGACAAAGACAGGATAGACAGAAAGACAAGGATAACCAAGATGGAGAAATCTGGAAAGGGAGAAAGAAAGAAGATGAAAGGGGAGTACAAAGGGTGAGAAAGAGCTGCAGAAAGCGCTGCTGAGGAATGGCAGAAAGAGCTAGAAGTGAGGGGTGGGTGTGTGCATGTGCGCCTGCGTGCAGGCAAATGGTGCCTCCACAGCATCCCTGTCCCTGGGGGGGTGGTGTGCCAGCCAAGGAGCGGGGAAGGAGGGAAGATGAGCCTGGGTCAGTAGAGGAAGGCTTCTCTGGCTTGGAGGTCAGGCTGGGTGGACAAGCAGAGCAGGGAGACAAACAAGAGAGCACAGAAGCCATGCACTAGGGCCAGGGAGACAAACAAAGCCCCACAGTGACAGAGCGGCAAACCCCTGCCCACTTGTGGCACTGGGGCAAGAGGACAGTTGTAAGACAAGATGGATGACCGACATGTACCAGAGAACAGGTGGAGATTCCTGTAGGGAGGAGGACTAGGGGGAGGGGGAAGCACCCAGAGGATCTCAGCAGATCCTTGTAAGATTGCTGCCTGGCCGTGCTGGGAGTGCGTGTGTTACAGCTCAGAGTCAGCAGCCGCTGGGCTGGGCTGGGGGGAGGTGCACATGAAGCACAGCATGACAGTGAGTGTGTCTGTGAGTGTGCACAGCAACTGTATACTGGCCACTGCTGGGGGAGGGCAAGACAAACTCACCCCCACACACTGCACTGAGCAAGCAAGAAGAAAGGGTCTGGCAAGGCCAGGAGATGAGGGTCAAGTCCACAAGGTCTACAGGGATGAGCTCAGTGAGGGTCCCAGAAGAACCTCACCCCTTGCCCCACCCTGGCCTGGGTCCCCTGGGGAGTCCTCTGTCTATACCACAACACACCACACTGCCCTCTGTGTGACTGAAGCTGGTTACCAGGGAGAGGCCTGAGAAGTCGTGAAGCCTGGCTGAGACCTGGGGTGGCTGCTTGCTTCCACCCCCAAACACACACACACACACACACACGCACGCGCACACACACGCACGCACACACATGCACACACACGCGCGCGCGCGCGCACACACACACGGAACTTCCAATGATGCCCTGACTGTGCCCATCAACTCTCAGGTCCTGCTGGGGGTGGTTCTTGAAGGAGAAGCAACAACAGGACCCTTCAAGGGTGAAGTGAAGAACGTCCAAGTCCTCCTGCCAGTGTCTGTTGGGAATGGCAACACTTGGTGACCAAGCAGGGCAGATAGGGGGCAGGACTGGGGGTTCAGCACCCGGGGTACATGGGAGGGTCAATGTGGGTGGCAGGTCCCTGTCTCCCAGGCCTGGGGAGAGGTGTAGGAGCCTTTGAGCCTGTCAGTATGCATATGAGGGCGTGGGTGTCACCTAAACCCCATGCACTGTGTCCCTTTAAGGCTCCCCCTCGCCCTCCTCCCTAGGCTGTGGCTGTCAGGTTTCTATGGTGATGCAGCCTGCTAGCAGAGGTGGGGAAGCCTTGCTGTAGCCTACTGGGCTGCTTAGATAATACATAAAGAAGGCTGCTCAAGGGAGCCCCCACAGGTACCTGAAGGCCCAGAAATCTTACACTCCCCTTACCCCTCCCTAAGGGGAGATGAGAGTGCACCTCAGCCAGCCTCAGCCCCCTCATCCCAATCCCCTCATTCGCCTGAGGCTTCAGTCTCCAAGGCAACTAAGGTTCACCTGTAAAGGATCATTCTCCTTAAAGGGTGGGGAGGGGGCAGATGGAGGTTAACCCTTAGTGGGGAAGAAAAGGAGAATTCCCACCACTGTAGGGCCCCACCCTCTCTACTCCCCCCACATCTCAATTAGCCCCATTTTCTTAAATGAATTTCTGTGTAGCATTTACCACATACCAGGGACTCTTCTAAGCACTTTTATACATGCTGATTGATTTCATCCTCATTATCTCCATTTTACAGACACAGAAATTGGGGTCCAGAACTGCACCAAGTCCCAGATTGCAGAGCTGCCATTGGCATTCACTCAGGCTGGGGTTTTATATGGGATGGAGGCTCTTGAAGTTGCCAAAAGCTATTCTGGAGTCAGGTGACCTCTCAGGGACACTGGCGTCCTAACATATATGCCTCTTTGAGTCCCTGGGGATCCAGGGCCTGGACAAGGATGGCCTCCCATCCATCCTGTTCCCCTAGGGAAGGGCTGATTTGCTAGGCAGATGGCAGGCAAATGTAGAAGGCAGGGAGGGAAATCTTGGGAGGGAGAACACACCCAAGTACGAGGTGAGCAAAATCACGTCTCAGCACAGAGCAGGAACCCGACCCCAAACAACCAATCTCTCTCTTGCTTAGGGACCCCTCAGCCTGAGGCCCTGTGGGACTTCACATGACACCCCTCCATCCAAGTACTCAGTCCAAGAGAAGGCAACCTCCTTTTCTTGTTGGACTCAGGCACAGGCTGAGTTCCCTTGTCTCTTCTCTTGCTATGCAGAATCTTAGCCTGCTGTGACTCCTTTCTTACAACCAAGACTCTGGAGCCCTCTCACAAAGAGGTCCTCCACTACTGGGAAGGCCCCTCCTTCTCCAGCCAGAGCTTAGGGACAGCAATGGCTCCATTCCTGTACTGAAGGGAAGACTGAGGTCAAACAGGAGCTGGGACTCACTCAGCTGCCTGATGGAGCAAGGAACAAGGAAGATTCCAGCCTGCCAGAACTCTGAAAGCAGAGCCATGAGGCAGCAGTGGGTATCAGGGCCCCTCACATTCTGGGCTTCCTCAGTGAGCAGGGATGATCCTGGTACTAGAAGGGGCTTCAGAGAGCAGGCTGGAGAACACAACGTGCATTGCATCACTCTGTTAGCTGTGGGTCTGCAGATCAGGTAGGCAGTGCTGGAGAGGTGGAGAAGGTGCTGAGGAAAGGTGGGGAGCAGAGTAGCCTGGTGGTGCCTGGAAATGGCTCAGATACTGCCAGGCCCCATGAGACCCTCAGGGCTCCCCATTCCCAAAGGGTTAAAGGGCAGAAGGGGCACAGGAAGCCTGGGGGTGGACAATGGAGCCTCTGTCCTCCTTAGGGCCTTAGCATTCCTAAGGCATGAACGCAGACATCTGGGGAGGGGGTCCGGGGAACACCCCCCTCTACTGAAGCCACAAGCCTGGGTTGGCCAGAGGCTCTGAACCCATGCCATGCAATACTTACTGCATGCCAGTCATCACAGCCACCACCTTTGCCCCGCCCCTTCCTAGCAGAGGCCCTGTTCAGGCATCTGAGGGGATTCATATGGGTACATGACGATGTGTGTGTGCTCACGCTCTCTGAAGAACACACATACCAGCCAAATACATGACCCCAACGCAGGCAAATAGGAATAATGGAGGTTACCCAAATGCACACGTGACCAGATATATGAGCCCCACACATGCAAATAAGAACACACACACACACACACACACACACACACGCCCAAAGCCTCCCAGCAACCCAACCCAGCTCTCCCATGCAAACCTCAGAACTGGGGCTGCCCTCCCCCCATCTCTTCCCAGCACTAGATGGAGGGCCGGGGAAGGAGGGGGCTCCTGGAGACTCAGTCCCCATCCTTCAAGCTCCACCCTTAGACTGACATCGAAACAGACAAACTCCGAAGTCCCCCTTGGCCAAGTGCATAAAGCCAGGACGCTGACACCCTCCTGCCCCACCCAGTCCCTGACTTACGCAGCTGCCTCTGCTGGGTTTAGAGGCCAGAGACTGGCACAAGCTACTGATGGAAAGACAGTGGCCCTGTAGCTTTTTGACCTGAAAGGCAAGCTGCTGAGGCCCTGGGTGGGGGGCAGTGGACAAAGAAAAGCTTCTAGAAAGCCCAGCAGACCAGATCCTCCCCCTGCAAAGCCCTCCTCCAGCTCCTCCCTCTCCCTCCAACCACAGCCTTTAGGAAGCCACAAAGATCCTGTTGATATTTGGGGAACAGGCAGGGTGGGCTCACTGCTTTTCCCATTCCTCCTCTTGTTGGTAGCCACCAGGTGTCCCCTCTCCATTCTGCAGGTCAGATGAGTCCCCACAAGGGGTCTAGGGCCAACCCAGGGACACAGCCCAGCTGAGGTTATGTTGAGGGGCTGCTGGATAAGGCAGCAGAGCAGTCACTCCTCCCCCCTCCCACCCAGTGCTGGGGCTCACAGGAGCCCCTGAGAAAGGGAGGGGCTTTGGGGAAGTAGGGAGTAGAAAAGGAGAAGGGAGATAAAAGATAAACAAAAGGGGAATCAGAGAGAGCAATGGGCAGCGAAGGGAAAGTGGGAAGGGGGAGGGAGGGGAAGGGATGCCTCTCCCATTTCCCATGGAGAAATGAGGAAGAAGGGAAAAGGTAATGGTATGGTGGGAGGCTCACAGGTGGCAGCAAGGAGGCTAGGGGAGCAGGAGGATGGCCCGATCAGACCAAGTGGCAGATTAAGGGACCCTGGGAGTTGCTGAGAGTCCATTTCAGATGGCTGGCCCCACCCAGGGACCTAGCCCCAGACGTCCCAATCGTGGGGGCAAAGATGCATTTTGCAGCTACCCTGGAACACTGGAGCAGGAATTCTGGCCCCCAGTCTCCCTCAGTGTCTAAAGCACAGGGCGGGGCCCCCACTCATGTCCGCAGAGGGAGGTCTAGCAGATCTCTGCATAGGAACCCAGCCTCTGTTCCACATTCTCCCTGGGAACCTGGAGCTGATCTGGTGCTACCAGCCATTACATGAATGGCCAGGTTGGGTCACTCTGCAAGGCCACGTCACCCTCACTGCCCAGGAGAGTGCCCAGTTGCATCCATTTTGAGTGGTATCAGGGTCCATTTGCCCTGAAAGAGACCTTGGAGATCAGCAAGTCTGTCCCCCATGTGAGAGCCAACAAAGCTGAAGCCCAAAGTTGGGAAAGGCCTGAGTGTTCCAAGTCACTGACTGGCGTGTGACCAATATGGCACACTAGGCTATCCTTTTGACCCTCCCCAGACAGGTTTGGCCAAGTGCTTGCCATAGAAATTGACTGTTCCTTGGGCCAGGGGCAGAGAGTGCCAACTCTTGGGGAAGGCCAACTGGGCAGCACAGCTGGGGTACCTCTGCTCATTGGAGTAGCCTTGAGACAAGGCCCTTCCTCACTCTCTGCCTCCCTTTTCCCTTCAAATAATCATAAAGAAAAAGAGAAAGCAAATCTGTGCCCCCTAAAGACAAGGGTGGTGGTAGTGGCTTGTTATTTCCATGGGCAGCTTGGAATACAGCCCAAGCAGGCGCTTGGCAGTGAGAAGCTGTCCCCCGACACCTGCTCAGGTCCTGGGTAGTCATGGCAAGCCCAGTGCCCACGCCTGACCATAGGGCATGAGATCCTGCCACCTCTGGGCACTGAAGGCTGGGGGCTGCACACTGGGGGAAGAGCCTCTTGGGAAGGGGTGGTAGCACACAGGAAGGCTGGGACGTGCTGAGCATTTTTCCCTCTTGGTGATCAGGTCACCAGCGAGTCCTAATTTCTTTTGTTCTTTCCTGTACATTTCAAACGTACTGCAATAAGATGTATTATGTTGGGGATCACACCCCCCAAAATAAATAAATATAGTGAGAAAAGGAGACTTTGGAATACAGCACGGAGAAATGGCCAGGAGCCAGGGAAGTGGGGCGGTCCCGTCTCAGTCATACCACCAATTTGCCATCTGGTCACAGGCAGCCAAAGGTGAGTACATGCAGGCACTGCCTGGTGCTATGCCAGGTGAGAGGCCCAGCTGGGCTGAGTCCCACCATCTGTAGCATGGAACCCATCAGAAGTGAGAGGCCCTAGGCAGGCCCCTGCCCCAGCCACCAGACAGAAGACCAGGAAGATGGGGCTCAGCTCGGCAGCAGTTACCACAGGAAGAAGGGCTGTTGGGGCGTACTCACCCCCAGGGCCACCTGAGTCAGCAGACAGCGCTGACAGCACTGGGCTGCCAGAAGCCCCTGCCCTCGGGGCCCTGGTAACCAGGACCAGGGCATCTACCTGGAGGGTGTGCCAGGCCCCCACTCCTTGGTGAGGACAGACAGATGGTGGTCCTGCCTCCTCAAGACCGGCAGTGATGGGCAGGAGTTCTAGATACCCTTTCAGGAACAGTGGATTGTACTAGCTATTCTTTGCAATTCCTGTCAACCAAGAGACCCTAAAAATCTGACCTAGGAAGGAGGAAATAGGAATTGGCGACCCTCCCACAATGGCAGTGGGCAAGAGACCTGCAGTGGGCAGGGACAGGGTTCCAAGCATCTTGCTTTCCAGAAGTCCTTCAGTCAGTGAGGCCCTTCCTCCCTCAACCCTACCTGATGGGCCCACAGTCTACACCCAGGTGCATGGAGGCACACGAACGGGTGCGCAAACCTACCTCGACCAGTTCAATCTTTATTAGCTACGGAAAAAAGCTTCCAGAAAAAGGCGTGCTGCGCCTCCAGGGAAAAGACCCTGGTTCTGCGGCAGGTTTTGAGGAGAGCCCTGGCAAGAATTTGGAAAGAAGGAGGAGAACAAAGCCCCCTCCCCATTTTGAGGTGGAGGGGCAGGCAGCGCCCAGTCCTGTTCCCTCTCCTCCTCCCGTTTCAGGAGCAGTTCAGCCCGATCTCCCCCACAGCACGCCAGCGCTGGCCCCTGGCTTTTCGGACAAACAGGGCCCTAGAACCGGGATGAGGGGCAGCCACGCCCAGAGCCACACCCCACGGCGGCCGATGGCGGGGGACACCGGGCCCCGGCCGGTGGTCGCTGTCCTCCCCCTCCCACACACTTACAGGGCCATGCCAACTTCATCCCCACCCGCCTGCACAGACCCTGCCTGACCATCTTCCCCCCGCCCCGTGCCCCTCCCCAGAAGCGCATTCTGGGCGCCTCCCAGGCACCCCTCACCTGTCGGGCTCTGGCACTCCTCGGCCTCCTTTCCCTGTCCCACTACAGTCCCCGGTGTCCCCAGCCGGGTGCCGGGCATGGGTGGGGCTCCGGCCGCACCGCCCGTTACCGCGGCCAGGAAGGCACCTGGGCAGGGCTGGGGCGGGAGGGCAGAGGGTCGCAACCGCGGCGGGTGCCAAAGGACAGGCAAAGCCGCCTTACCTGCGCCGTGCCGCCGCTCGGGCTGCCCGCCCAGCCTCCGCGCACGCCGGGCTCGGACCCGCCGCCCCAACACGTCCGCGAAGCCTGTGCCGATGCCTATGCTGCGGCGGCAGCGGCGGGGCGGGGGAGGGGCGGGGGAGGGGCGGGGCGGGCGTGCGCGGAGGGGAGGGGGAGGGAGCGTACGGGGGGAGGAGGAGGGGGAAGTGAGATCACCTCCCCGGCCGCCGGCCCCGCCCGACCACACCCTCGCCCCTTGTCCCTGGCGAGCCTGGCCGCAGAGCCGGGCGCGCCGGGGACCCCTCGGTGGTCCAGCTCCTGCAATCCCGGAGTCCCCGGCGGAAGAGTGCACCCAGCCCGACCGCCAGGGAGCCCCTGCCTCCTGCAGGCTCCGAATGGAAATTGCCCAGCAGAGGTGCTCCCAGGGCCCCGGGGCCCGATGGTGGAGAGAGGACTCCGGCTGGGAAACAGGTTTCCCCTTCCCCCAGCCTCCACCCGGCCCTGGAAGACGCCGGGCAGCGTCAAACACCCATGTGCAACACGGTCCCGGCCGCGTCCTGGTGGCCTTGCGTTTGGACATCCACCCCCCCCACACACACCCATACCCAGGACAGGACTCCCGTGTCCCCAGGCTCTTCTCCGAATCCCTCCCTATCCTGGGCACCAGGTCCCGGTCCTCCGGGAGGGGCGCTTGGGCCTCAGTTCCCAGCCTGCCCAAGAGGCGTGGCGCGGGGCACGGGCTCCTCTGCACCTCCGAGCCCCAGCGAGAAGCTGAGTTAGAGCCAAGCCCAGGGCGAAAGGTCGCCGCGGAGAGGGCGCCCCTCCACCTGCGTCCCCCAACTCCCAGATCTTTCTCCCACTCCCCGCCAGGTTCGGAGTCTTATTTCTTTGTCCTCGGGATTGCCCTCATCCCGACCTTCCCCCCCCCCACTCTCCCTCTCAGCCCTTCACGGGGAATGCATCTGGAAGGAAGGAGCTCCTTCCCGGCCCCCCACCCCCACCCCACCCCGCCACCTTCGACTCCTGGCTGTGACCTCCCAGGCGAGGCAATGTGGAGGGGGCTGGAATTCCGAAGCGAGGCGAGCAGGCCAAAGCCTCAGGGCAAGGAAGGCCTAGGGCCCAGATGGCAGATTGCAGCCCTGGTAAACACGGTATTTTTATGGGCATGCCTGTTGCCCAGTGAAGCATTCCCAAGGCCCTCTGCTCAGCCTGCCAACACCCCCCAAATGGAGGGTCCTGCTCCGAAGGGCCCACATGAAAGCCGCTCTGACATCCTGGCCTGCATCCCCTCCCACGTTGGACCACATTGCCCTGGAAGGAGAGGCTCTGGTGGTCCCACTTGCCTTCTCTGATGGTCTGGATGTGATGTTCCTAGGGGTCTTTAGGAGAATGGATGGCTAGGCACCTGAGTGAGATGGAGAGCTAGGTAGAGACAAAGGAGTTTGGCCACCACTTGGCTCCCTTAGACCCAGGGTGGAGCTGCTAGCAAGGCTTTTGAAGTGCCACTGCTCCAGCGTCTTTGGGAGACAGCACCAAGAAGCTGAGCCTGCCTGGGTCATGCATGAGGCCAGGGGCAGAGAGGGGTGTTTTCCATGAGACACGGAGCTGAGGTCAGCTTCCTGCCTGCTCTGATCTGCACTCAGATAGGCTTGGGAAAGGCTGACCTCGGACCTCTCCTCCCCAGCTGCTGCCTCCACTCAGCCTGGCATCCCCAGCCCTCACCCAAGCCCCAACTTCTGCAAATCCCTCACCAGGTCTGGGGTTTGATGCTGATCTCTAGGCTGACATTGAAACGGGTAACACCGGCTACTGCATAATGCTGGGCGCTATCTCCATTAATTACAAATGTTAATTATTAGCACATTTAGTAAGCATTACCATGACCCTACATGTTTCGTGTATTACCAGGTTTATTTTACACACTAGCCCAATGGAGTCCATCCAAGGATGGGTCCCATGTTATAGATGAGGACACTGGAACCCCAAAACTCAAGGAATGTGTTCACTGAGCTCCACTGAAAGAGTCTATTTTCTCTCCACTAGTTCAATGCATCTGCACCAACCCCATGATGAAGGTCCTGTTACCATCCAGGACCCAGGGGCCACAGAGGCAGTCATATAGCCAAGGAGGCGCTGTACAGAACACCCCATCTGCATCCTGCACTCATCTCCTCAGCCCCTCGCTATGAAGTAGCCACTGCTAGTGCCATTTCTCAGATGAGGAACCTGAGGCTCAGAGGTGTCAAGTAACTTATCCAAGATCACCCAGAACGAAAATGGCAGACCTGGGATTGCTTGACTGCAGTGCCCATCTTCCCATTTCCCATTCTGAGGTAGAAGTGCCAATGGGAAGAGAAAAACCCATATATATATATATAGGGGGCTTTGGGGGTTCTGTGGTTTGAACTCAGGACCTTGCACTTGCTAGGAAGGTGCTCTGCCACTTGAGCCACGCCTCAGCCCCCCTTTTTTCTGGGACTGGAGTTTGAACTTAGGGCTTCACCCTTGCAAACCAGGCACTCTGCCTCTTGAGCCACACCTCCAGTCCATTTTGCTGTGGTTATTTTGGAGATGGGGTCTCACAAACTATTTGTCTGGACTGGCCTCAAGCCTCGATTCTCCTCATATTAGCCTAGGATTATAGGTGTGAGCCACCAGTGCCCACTAGCCACCCTTTTTCAAGACATGATTTTGCTATATAGTTCAGGCTGGCCTTGAACTCAAGATCCTCCTGCCTCAGTCTCTGTGTGCTGGGATTACAGATATGTACCCCCATATTCAACTCAGTTTGATGAGTTTTTTTGGTTTTTTTGCCGTGCTAGGATTTAAACTCAGGGCTTATGCCTTGAGCCACTCTACCAGCTCTTTTTTGTGATGGGTTTTTTTTTGAGATAGAGTCTTGTGAACTATCTTCCTGGACTGGCTTTGAACTGCCATCCTTCTGATCTCTGCCTCCTGAGTAGCTAGGATTACAGGCATGAGCCACAATGAGTTTTGACAAATGTTATGTTGCCACAACCAAAATCAAGCTGTAGAATAATTGCATTATTTCCCCGAATTGTCTCATGCACCCTTGCAGCCATTCACTCCCTTCACGCCCTGGCCCCTGATTCCTGTGGTTCTGCTTTCTGTCTTTTGTAGAATTTATTACAAGTAGACTCATACAATGTGTATTCTTTTGTCTAGCTTCATTCATGCAGCATAGTTTTTGAGATTCGTCCATGTTTGTTTGTTTGTGTGGGTAAGTGTGTGTGTCTGTGTGTGTCCCTTTCCATTCCCAAGTAGTATTCCAGTGTTTGAATGTATCACGGTGTGTTTAGCCATTTACCTGTTGATAAATGTATGGGTTGCTTACAGCTTTTGTCATTTATGAATGGAGCTACTTTAAACATCCATGTGCAGGATTTTGTGTAAACACAGATTTTTTTTTTTTCAGTGGTACTGGGGTTTGAACTCATGGCTTCACAGTGCTAGGCAGGCGTTCTACCACTTGAGTTTTCCATTAGCCCTTTTTTGTTTTTTTGTTTTTTGGTGGTACTGGGAGTTGAACTCAGGGCTTTGCACTTGCAAAGCAAGCACTCTTGAACTACTTGAACCACACCTCCAGTTCATTTTGCTCTGGTTATTTTGGAGATGGGGGTCTCTCAAACTATTTGCCCAGACTGGTCTTGAACTACAATCCTTCTGATCTCTGCCTCTCAAGTAGCTAGGATTACAGGTGTGAGCCACAGGTGCCCAGCAAACATGCATTCTTAACAAAGTCTAAATTACAAGCTGGTGGAGTGGCTCAAGTGGTAGAGCACCTGCCTAACAAGTGTGAGGCCCTGAATTCAAACCCCAGTACCTCTAAATAAATAAATAAAATGAACAGACGAGTTCTAGATTAATAGACTATATTAACAGGCTGGACTGTAGCTCAGTGGTAGAGCACTTGCCTGACATCTGCAAGGCCTCGAGTTCGATCCCCAGGACTGAAAAAAAAAAAAGACAATAGTAAAGGTAATCAATATACCCACGCTGGTGGTTATAACATAGGTTCACAAATTCCTTGATACTCCTCCCTTAAAGTGGTGGTACCCAAGCCGGGTGCCGGTGGCTCATACTTGTTATCCTAGCAACTCAGGAGGCAGAGATCAGGAGGATCGTGTTTTGAAGCCAGCCCAGACAGATAGATCATAAGACCCTATCTAAAAAAAAAATCACAAAAAAGGGCTGATGGAGTGGCTCAAGGAGTAGGCCTTGAGTTCAAACCCCTGTACCACATACACACACACAAACCACCCAGCTAAGCTACCCCAGAATCCTAACCTAGAGAAATTGTGAGATAATAAATAGCTAGTCAGCGGGGCACCGGTGGCTTATGCCTATAATCCTAGCTACTTGGGAAGCTAAGATCAGGAGGATCCTCAGTTTGAGGCCAGCCCAGGCAAAAATGTCCTGAGACTCACCCCTCATCTTCAAAACAACCAGAGCAAAATGGACTGAAGATGTGATTCAAGTGGTGGAGCACCTGCTTTGTAAATGCAAAGCCCTGAGTTCAAACCCCAGTCCCACCAATTAATAAACAAACAGTGTCACTTTAAATCATTGTGTTTTGGAGTGATATACTGCATGGCAGTAGAACATGACTACATCTTCGCTCTTCCTAAACAGTACAGGGTCTTAGATCCCAGGACACACTTACCACACGAGATAGATGCTATCATTGGCTCCAGTTTTGCAGAGGAGGAAACTGAGGCACAAGAGAAGTACTTGCCTATGAGCCCTGTGGTCAAACTCTGCCCTGATGAACTAGGTTTCACTGTGTTGTAGACTCTGGGATTTCTTCAATTTTACACTTGTTCAGCAAAACATCTTAAAATAATGGTTTTGCTGCAGGAGAAGGTGGTGTGCACCTGTAGTTCCAGCTATCTGGAGGCTGAAGCAGGAAGATTGCTTGAATCCAGGAGTTCATAGGAAACAAAGTGAGACCTTGTCTCAAAAATGCGCACACACACACACCTTATGCATCTTTATAGATCAGTTTTGTGTGTGGGTGTGAGGAAGGCATTGTGGGTTTCTAATTTGTTGTGCAGCCAGAAATCTAGG